ACATCTTCTAATAAAGTGTGATTAAATATACACTATTACTTTTTAAACACACTTTTTAAATAAAGTGTGATATTATATATTTTTTAATTACACATTCTAATTAAAGTGTGATTATTTTATATATTTTTTAAATCGCATCTTCTAATTAAAGTGTGATTAATATATACAGCTACTACTTTTAATCTCACTTTTTAAATAAGTGTGATTATATATAATATATATATATATATATAATAATATATATATATATATATAATATATATTAATCACACATTCTAATTAAAGTGGATTATTTATAAGTGTGTTATTTATATATTTTTAATCACATCTTCTATTAAAGTGTGATTATATACACTATTACTTTTAATCACACTTTTTAATAAGTGTGATTATATATATTTTTTTAATTACACATTCTAATTAAAGTGTGATTATTATATATTTTTTAATCGCATCTTCTAATTAAGTGTGATTTATATATACTACTACACTTTTTAATCACACTTTTTAAAATGAGTGTGAATTATATATATATTTTTAATCACACATTCCTAATCTAAAAATGTGAGATTATTATATATTTTAATCGCATCTTCTAATTGAAGGTGTGATTTATATATATACTATAGTTTCTGAATCACACTTTTTAAAATGATGTGATATATATATTTTTTAATTCACACATCTAATTATAAGTGTGATTTTTATATATTTTTTAATTCACACACTTCTAATTAAAAATGGTGATTATAATATACAATTTACTCACTTTTTAATTCACAGCCCCTAAGAAAGTGTCGATTGATAAAATATCCATATTGATTTTTATATAAAATCAATAATTCTCATTTTTTTTTAAAAAAAAAAGCCTCAACACCAAAAAACATATATAAAAAAAAATCAAAATAGCATTAACTCTTTGGCCTACTTCTAATACAAAGGAAAATACACTACAAACAAAATAACTGATTTTCAGCTTCAACAATTAACAACATGCAGTAAATGCAAGCGTTGATTTTTTACTTTTACGACTTATGTTTTTTTGCATGTCGTAAATAATTCTCCAACACGATGTGCTATTACGTAAGTTGTGAATGCTAACATAATAATAATTCTTTTATAACTAATAATGTTAACCGTAAATAATAAATTTTTTTTATAACATATAACAACATGCCGTTAATATATACACTACACAGGAATCCGGATCCCGGACGCCCTATACCCGGCGGCCTACCGCAGCCCCCACGACGTCGTTTGGGGGTTTTTTTTTTTTTTTTTTTTTTTCCCCTTTTCTCTCTGCTTCGTTTATTCTCTTCTTCTTCTCGTTCTTTTCTTCTTCTCGCCATAACAGAGGGGAGGGGAGGGGAGAGGGAGAAGAGGAGGAAGGAGGCTCGTCGCCTCGCCGCCGGCATCGCAGCTCGTGCCTGCGCCGGCCGTCGCAGCGTCCGATCGTCGCAGCCGTGCTCGCCTCAGCCTCAACCGCCGTCACCGCCTCCGCCTCCTCCTCCTCCTCCCCCACTGGTTTATGGCCCCCCAGTCCGCTCCTCCTCCTCCTCCTCCTCCCTCCTCCTTCCTTCTCCCTCTTCCCCTCCTTCCTCCTCTCTCCTCTGTGTTTTTTTTTTTTTTTGAAAATTTGCCCCAAAACGACATCGTCTTTGGGGCTACTGGGTTTGACTGCCGTTTAGGGCGGCCGAGATCCTTGCTCCACTACACAAGCAGACCTATGTTAGTCATTAAACATATTTATTTTTTTATTAACGCACAATTAGTCGTAAATGTAGAATGAAAAAAATGGCGCAAAATAAAAATGGCAATCAATCACCAAGAAATATTAGAAAGAAAAAAGGAAAGTTTGTCAAATACAAACTTTTGGCTTCAAAATGATTCTGAAGGGACATTTTGAGTTTGTTAAAACGGAGAAGAAAGGAGAATATAGAAGGGTTTGAAGGGAGATTGGTTCGGCAGCGGCGAGACTCGACCTGAACCGGTGCTTTCTCTTCGGCACGGCGAGACTGGTTCGGCAATGGTGCTGATTGATGTTCCGAAGGGAAGGTTCGTTTCTCCTCTTGTCTTCGATCCGGAAAAAATCTCAGTTGATGCTTGAGGTATGTTTTGTTATTGATTCTTCTCTCAAATTCTTCTGGCCGCCGCCAAACCCCCCTCCGCCCTTTCATGCGTGAGGCTTCGTCACCTCCTCTCTCTTCCCCACTACCCCAACTCCACAATCCTCACACCAAACAAACCGTAATCTCTCTCTCTCTCTCTCTCCCTCTCCTCTCCTTCTATTGCTTCCTTCTCATGACCCCTTTTCAAGCCCAATTGACCCACTCCTCCAACTACGAAAGCATTTCAATTCCGATCATCTACCCAACTCTTTGAAGCTAAAACTTAGATGTGGTCAACATTTGGTCCAGTTTTTCGAGCCACTACGGTGATTTTCCGCCTAATTTCTTTTTTTCCGACATTGGGTATGAATTGAGGGGGTTGAATTTCGATGGTGGAGGAATGGAAAAGGTGAGATTGGAGCTTGAGGGTATGAGTAGGGTTTCCATGAAGAGGGAGCTGATTTATGTGCTGAATAGTTCGATCGTGGGCGGTTGAATCGGTTGCGGGCTAATTATTTTTGTGGATAGTTGAAATCCCTTGCAGCTTTGTTCCAAGCCTAAAAGCCAGAAACGAGATGATGAATTTGGAGGCTGCTTTAATACTAGCAACAGGTTAGAAGATCCTTGGTGAGTCTGAATCTATCAAGTTGTAGACTTTATTTGGGGCTAATTATTTTCTGCATTTTGCTCAACGTGTTGACATTAAACAGGGGAAATTTTGGGGCTTATTGGCAATCAAACTAGAAAGGGTATGACTCTCTCCTATTTTCTTTTTCCTCATTTGTTTTATTCTTATGGGGATCAAAAAGGCATTGCTAGCATTATGTAATGGGTTTTTGGACTAGCGATAATGATTTTGAATATTGATATATTAATTTGGATTTGATTCCAATATTTTCTTTCTCTTTTGTTCTTTTGGTGCCACTCAATAGTCATTTTTTGACTGTTGATAAGGCTATCGATCCTTTTTGATATGTTTCTGTGATTCTCACACATATTGGTATGGATCCACTGGTTTTTCATTGGTCAAAATTTTGGTCAAATACCGTGAAATTTGCTGAATTGTAGTTAATTTCCTTTTTAGTTATGAAATCTTGTTTCAAATTCACCAATTCAAGGTACCCGAATTCGAGGCCTTGAGGGTTTGGATTAAGAATTGGATTGAAGGTTCGAACGCGGTTCTAAAATTAGAGCTAAAGCTCATTTCTCGGTGGTTTGGAATCTGGTGGGTGAAGAACACATTTGCATGTAGCTCATGCCGTGTCCTATTTAGTGAAATTTCTTTGTGCTTTGAATATTTAAATCCAAGAAGGAATTGTATCGTGGATGCTGAATAGCTTTGTGGTCTAAAAGGCCACATTATTCTAACAATTAGACTGATAATCTTAATCCCAAAAGCAAGTTGGGTAAACGAGCATTTAAATACTTCTAGGAAATTAACTACACATTAATTTTTTTTCTTGATTTCTACAGTATTTGATGGTCCATTGGACCAACCTACTAAAGGTCCGTGCACATTCAGTTCTATCAAGAACTTGGGCATTTAAAGATCATCTCACGAGAAAGTATTCTCAGCAACTATAAGAACACTCCAAAAAGGCCTAATTCTGAATGGGTGAAGCCACCTTATATCTACTCTATCTATCTATATAAATGAACACACTCTATGGGTCATGAATGCTTTACTCTCCTCATGCCCTGCTGGGCATGTATTTTTTTTATTTTTTAAAACCAAAAACTAAACAAAGAGAAGGGCAGGGCTGAACCCATGACCATAGGCTTTAAGTACGCAGGACTCATACCACTTAAAGCAGTACATCATTCATCAATATGTAATTTCATTACTTAATTTTTTATCCTACTTATTAAATTGCACACCAGTCGTGTGTGCCACCTAGTAATTACTATATGAAGCCTATACCAGTGCTAACTTTTGTTTTTGGTGCTATGCCTTTGTTACTCATGTCTCTAAACGTGTCAACTTTTCCTTTCTCTTGTACTTACAAAGAGGGGAAAAAATCTAGAAAGAAGAGAGAATTGCTTCTTGTACTATGCCTTTTTACTCATGCCTTGGGTTTTCTTTTGTTTATATGTTAGAAGAGAACTTTTTCAAATTTGGCTCACTTTTGTCTACTCTTTTGGTACATCATTGCATCTCTTGCAG